GGCAGAATGTAAATACGCGGCTCTCCTGCGCTTTCTCTTCCAGGCCGAGCTCCATCTGCAGCCGGCGTTTGGAGGCCCGGCTCAGATAAGGAGACGCGCAGAAGCTTCTTTATCTTTAGAGAGCAGCGGCGTGGATTATTCCGAGGTGCGCCGGGCTGTTCCCGACGGCCGATCCGCTTCCGTGGCTAATGAGCGCTAGCGGCCTCCTGCGCGCGGTACGCTCGTCGCTCGTCGCTCGTCTGAGCCGTCCCGCCCATGGCGTTACGGGGGCCTCCTTTTGATTCCTGAGGCCGGACGGTGCCGAACGTTTCAGGGAGAGTCGCCCGGGTTCCTGTGTTCCGAGGTAAAGGAAAATAACGGTCCTAGAGACGCCCAGCGGGGGAGGAACAGCAGCGTCTCAGCGCCGCAGCCGCACGCCAAACGGACCTCATCTGTTTGAGCCCAGAAGGGGACGGGCAACAGATGGAATTGGGTGTCCATCCCAGCAGAGGATACCCCTCCCCCCCATGCCTGATCCCAACACCGTACCATACCCGCTTCAGGAAGAAAAAAACACACATACACACACACGAGGAATCGGGCCAGTTCCTGGCACCATATGTGCTGCCACAAGGCCCACTGATCCACAGCAAAAGGAAAAAAAAATTTCCCAGCAGTGCCCCCCGCTTGTGGCACGACGCCCCTTCTGACGACTCCGAGCCAGTTGGCCCAACGCTGCCGTTCTGGACCTGGGAACAGACAGAGGTACAGAATGCAGCGGGTGCCCCTCCCCCCTCGCTTCAGCATTGGCACGCGTCATCACTACGGTTTGGCTCGATGGCATAATGGGCTGCATGGAATTATGGGAGATTACAAAGCACCCCGGCCCCCTTCCCCAGTAACTGGAAACAAGTACAGCGGATCTTATACAATTACGAAGTTCTTTGCTAAAGTAATCTTTACTTTTCAAAATGGTGCCAAGAAAGTTTTTGTAAAGTGTTTTGTTTTTTTTTGTAGATGGAAGAATGTTTTATGGTGACTTCCTACAAGAATCTGCTCGATTTATTTGTCTGAGAAGTCTCAACCTTCACAACATTCTGCGGTTCATCCAACATTTGGGCGATAGAAAAGCGACTCCTCACTGTGAGCTAATTTAATCCTTGATGGGATGTATTGTGGGAATTTTGGTCTGGCAGTGCCCACCATGACTGTGTACACCGGTCAAAGCCCACTGAAGCACAGAGCTGATTGTCATCACAAGTTGTCCTGAATGCTCACCCATATCAGCCCCTATCACGCTAAAATACCCCAATGCAGGTTCCCCGGTGGCACACGACCAGCGAGATAGAGGCTCAGAAGACACCGCTATCCCAGAATTCTCATTAAATCTTGTCCGGCTTGATTCTGCTTCTATTGTCCTGTGGATGTGCTTATCGCTCCTCCTTCATCATTTTCAATGAGCTTATCTGGTTCCCAAGAAGCATGGCATATCGCGCGGTGGACATCCCGGATGGGGCCAAATTACGTCAAGAGCTACATGGACCGGCACAGGTGCTGTGATCCATTTCAGGTTCAAATAAGGAGCAAGGATGCGGGAGCAAATGGGGAACGAACCATAACGCTTCGGAGCAAAAAAACAGTACCATCAATTTTCGTGTCCGGTCAGTGTTTTGTTCACTATAATAACAATAATAATAATAATTATTATTATAATAATAAAAAGCAACAATGAATTATGATTATTATTATCTTGTTGGTAACAGTTTAATTCACCTGCATCATCTTACAAACAAGCATTGTGGAATCCTGACAACATGAAGGATGCTTTGATGAAACAGGATTACGATACAAGAAAACAAATGAGCAGCAAATACTTTACATTTACAGCCGTATCAGACATTCGCTAAACGGCCGTGTGACAATCAGCGGGATTTAAAGCCCTGGGAGTTACACTCGCTTCAAATTACTCATCGCTGTTGGCTAAAAAAAAAAGAAGCCCTTCTTGTTCATTGTTTTGAAAATAACTCACTTTTAATAAGTACGTCAGAAGCCTCAGATAACGTAAAGTCACCGGATGCTGATGGATGAGTACCTCAAAAACTTATTGCACAGCCCGAAAGAAATTTGCGAAAGCGAAACATTTGATATAATATAATCAGCTTTGTATCCGAAGCGTTATATGCAGCGCATTCGTCATCTGATGACAAAGTGTAAAATAACGACCTTTATCTGGAAGTGCTATTTTTTTTTATTACCGCAATAAGAACTTAATCTTTTTAGTGCAATGAGCAAGCTTACAGGGCCGAGTTTAGAGTATGTCTCGCTTGTTTGTGTTCTTGTTGGGTTTAATCTGCTGCTGGCTGAGCTGGTGCCTACAGCTGCAGTCAATCTGAAGGGATCAGCTAGTTATTGCAAACGCCTGGAAGCTACCGGAAGAGAAAGTCTCCGGTGCCATCGAGGGCACCTTTGCCGGGGGGGTCACCCGGGCGGTGTGCTTTAAGGTGCCGCCGCGGACATTGTCTCCATTTCACACAATGGCCCCCACAGCTACAGCTCCTTTCCCTAAGACCCAGGAAGGCCTCGTCAGATAAGAGGGGCGCCCTCGGAGCGGGTGGGAGGTTTAGAAGCCGAACAGAACAGCGCCAGAGCACCGGCAGCACCGGCCATGCGGACTCCGCAGAACGAAGGCTCCGGGGGTTTGCTTCCAGGCGTCTGTGAGCAACACCACAGGGGACCTTAAGGGGACCTTAAGGGGACCTTAATGTTCACGTGGTCATATGCCAACAGAAACTCCTCCGTAAAGAATAATACTATGAAATTAAATGGTAATTAGTGTAACCTCTTGCAATTTGAGGTTACTACCCGGATTCCTTCTTATCTGCTTTGCTACTATATATATATATATATACACACACACACACACACACACACACACACACACAGGGGTTCACCTTTAAGAACGATACGTGCGACAATCTATTGTTTGTAAAAGCGCAAATGCGAACTTATTTTATGTGCATTTGCGCTGCTATGACAAGAAAATACCTTGCATTTTAACCCGTATACCGCAAATGAAGTTGAGTTAGCATATAAAGATTAAAATACATTATATTTTGTTTATATATCGTTCTTAAAGGTGAAAGCGTACTTGTGTACCAGTTATGTGCACCCCTGTGTGTATATATATATATATATATGTATGTATGTATGTATGTATGTATGATTGTATGTATAGTTCTGCAAAAAATACAAAAATAAAATATGATACGAATGGTGCTTTCCTGAAATTGAAAAGCTTCACCTTTTCATTTTTATGGTTTGTTGAGTGTAACCTTCAGCCCAGCGTGACACGTGTGACGTGAAAAGCCCAGGGACTGGACCGGCCGGGTCGACCTGCCGTTAAACACTCACGGCAAAGCAAGTTTCACACATGCAATTTAAAATGCGATTAAACACCGCTGACCCCAGCCATCCGTCTCTGTCCCCTGTAAATTTCACCCATGGCTTCGTAAGAAAACTCCAGTCTGACCATCCCCCAACCCCCCCCGGCCCTCCCAAACCTCCCCCCCCCCAACCATCCATGGACCATTTTCTCATCCCTCTGAGTCAGTAATGAATTCACACTCGCCTCCTGGAGGGATCCTTACCTACCATTCTTTCTAATTATCCCGTAATTATCCTCCGGCAGAGAAGTCAGAGTTACTCTGGTCCTGTGGACGCAAATGTTATGGCCGCCGCTATTAAAAGTTCACGACACTCCGAGGAGCAGAGCATGAAAAGTGCGACGTCGCCGTAGATCTTGGTTCCGCGTCACGCGCGCGAAAACCTGACTCGCTTAAGTAAACACCAAGCCTTTTAACTACGGTAAAATTTACACTGCAAGCTACACGCTGTCCTTGACCAAGGGCAAAAAAATAATATCATTATATATAGCATATTGAAATGAAAAGTGGCGTTCCCCGGGTGCCATCTTTCACGCTGCCTGTCAAGCAGAGTAGCGGTTACCCCCCCAGCCGCGGCCCCCACAGCTCTGCGGAGATCTTAAACACAACATAAATACATCAAAAGCCGAGACAATACCGACCAAGATGATCCTACGCAGCAAAAGCATCTCCTGGCTCTGTGCCAGGCCCAGAACTGCCCCCCGCAGGAGTCTGCATCTTTGCCTCTTATTTCCGGAAGCTTCTAGTGCCAGCTGTGTGTGACAGAACTGGGGTGGCATTCATCGGCACTAGACTGAAGGGTCACATAAATCTCCCGGACAGTGCCCAGCTGCACGTACCCCGCCCGAAGGTGGGGTGGCTCTTTGCAATCGCCCACACGGACCCAACAGAGGCAGGGGATTTTCACTCCTTCTTCTACGCCCATCCCGGTGGGTGAATGTGGGTGAACGTTTCCCCGACTAAAAAAAGAAAATGTCCTGGAATGATTAATCGGTTCACCAGCTATGCATCATTGTTCTGTGGATTGTTCATGAAACACTGTGTATGAAAGGGTCATAAAACTCTTACATTGGGTCCTTTGAGGAGCGTTTCCAAGGCAACTGTGGTCACTGACTGCTTTCCTAAATGTTTATGCTCTGCTTATGAAGGAGTGATTCGAGCTCATGAACGTGTTATGAAGGTGTTCTGTGAAGCACCAAAGTTCTCCCAGGTCTTCAATTCAAGCTGGAAAGCTTTCTCCAGAGTCAGTCTGATTTTATTTCCCTAACGCTAATATAGAACGGTTCTAAAACGATCTGTAGAACACTGGGAAAATGGGATAGGTTACTTGTACCTCGAGGTACGAATTCCGTTAGAGAAAAATGCATGTTTTGTTCAACCATAGCATGTAGAACAATGTTCTTCTATTTTAAAAAAATATAAGACATCTCCCTCGATATGAAACCATGTCATGCGTGACCTTTTCAGCCCCAGAAACTCTTGGCTCTGGAGGTCTGAAAGAGACCAAGCCTGTTTCTATTATATATTACAAAACACCCTTAGGCAGCATGTGCTAAGATTTGTCCATGATGATTCCAGAATATTGTCCAGGCCACGCCCCCATCCCCCAGGTGAAAAACCCACTAAACCAGCTGCTCATCGAGGGATCTCGGCAACCAGATGTGTGAGCAATCGCTCTCTGAGTGATGACTATGGTGGTAGGTCTTTAAAATCCAGCGGTTCTGAGTCTCTCTTTTTTCCACGTCTAATTAAACTGGCAACTTCACACGCTTTCTTTTGACGGAATTAATTGTTCCGAAGCTATGTCTTGACTACATTCAAATAAATCAATTTGTCAGAGTTTTAAATTAAAGCTGCCAACGTCAGTGTTCGGCTCTACAATGCTACACAGTTTAGAATGTGTTATCTGCTAATGCAGAAAATTAATGTTCTTCATTTCAGTAATTACAATTATTATTTTGTTTTATTTTAGAGGTGTGACAGAAGCAGGAATTATCCTAAATATGTAATAGATATCTTAACATTTTAGAGCACATACAAGCTACCAATTATAAAGATATTGCTCTATAGATCATTTTGATTAGGTAACATTACCTCGCAGCAGTTTTAACACACAGTGAATGAGAGAAACATGTATAGAGTTTTCTTCTCATATCATCCAGTAGTATAGAGTGTGTCCCATTCGAGAGATGTATGAGCACTCCTGCAAAAATTTGTAATTAGTGGCCTTGCCAATTCTACCTTTTCAATGTGCATGCTTACAAAATACGAGCTACAGAAAAACATGCTTCCGGAAATAACAGAGGAAGATGAAGATGTAATAATAATAATAATAAATGTATGTTTATCTATTATTATTTTGTATGCTTTTGTTGTTCTTTTTGAGCCATTTTCTGTGAGTTCTTTTATTTCACAAGCATCAGGGAGACGTCAAAGGAATGGAGGCCATCTTAGCAAGCGACGGCCAAGCACAAGAGACCCAAATTCGCCACTCGCCCAAGTCTGTTTCAGTGTCAGATATGCTATTCATCTGCATCTTCAAGTAGCATCTGCTCTCTCTGCACTGCTGAAGACGTTTCCTCGGCAGACAAATGGCGCTCGTGGGGGGGTAATCGCGCGGCTCAAGCACGTCCAGATGACTCAGCCATGTGGTAGGCCGCATTCCAGCATGGCCCCCTCTGACCTCCACCCTTTGACCTCAAAACCCGGGGAGCCACGCTGGCATAAGCTGGGGGCCAACTAGGCATTTTCTGGAAAGAGGGACAGTAGAAATATCACGGGAGGTAAGTTGGCTAGCTGCTGACACAGATAGCTGGACCCTCCCTACCGGCCTGGGAGATGGTTTAACCCAGGACACTGAAACTCCAGGAAAAGCAAACGATTGCAGAACGTTGGAAGCAGTCTTTAAATCTCGCAGCAATGACACATAGGAGGCTGGCGGAGGAAGAAACGGATTGATCTCTGTTTGTCTACTGGGTGACATTCGTTCAATCAAATTTATGAAGTAAATGCAATTATGAGAGGACCAGAAAACTGCTTTCTCAGTAAAGGCCAAGGAAGTTGTGCAATTTGAAGTGTATCTTTTGGCTTTGATTTTTTTTTATTGGTGCATTTAAAGTCTCCGCATATGCTGTCATAAATAAAATTATCTACCTTCCTCCAAGCAGCGGGTGAAGAATTTACACAAAGGTGATATGTTAGTGTTTTCAATTTTCAATGTTATTTCCCCAATAAAGCAGCAAATATAATTTGTGCAGTCTAATATGAAAAGCTGTTTTTTGTGAATTCCTTTTATTCCCCCTTAGGTTCATGAACCATCACAATATATATGTATAAAGTATATATGTACAGGATTCTGCAGAAGTCTTAGGCAGTCAAAGAAAATGTTTAAAGCTATTTATCTGGGTAGCAAGTGTATATTTGATCAGAAAAAAATGCAGTTTAACATTGGAACATACGCGAATTAACCATAACACGATAAAAACTAACAAGAATTTCTTCTGTCCTGCAAAAAGTTACAGATCTCTATCTGGGCTGACAATAAGAACATCGCTTCAGTTCACAAACCTCTTCTCAGGGGCACCCCAGCCATTCCGCGTCTTTCTTAAAATAGACCACCAGCTCAATTAATAAATTGATTTAATTAGGTAAATAACTGGGTGAGGGAATGTTTAGGCAAACATGGTATGGTAAGGGTCAGGTCAAATAATACATGGGCACGTTAAATGTTTACTGCAAATGCTGGGGTGACTTTATGAGAGATTTCAAAATAACTAAGCCAACATACTTTGATAGACATAATATCGTAGTTTCTTGCCACCAGGAAGATCATTTAAATATCATTTTCTCTGACTGCCTAAGACTTTTGTACAGTACTGTGTATATACATATATATATACAGTTGTTTTCAAGGTGCGACAGTCCTCTTTTCTTTCCTAAGTCTAATAACCCAAACTTACTCCCATTAAAATGTAATTTTGCCCAAGATTGTCACATGAAGAGCAATAAATGAAAACAGTGATTCTAAATTTGAAATTAGCTGTCTGTCATCTGCCTGGGTCTGCCAGAGTGACTGGGTGTTACCACCTAAACATGCTATCATTTCACCATTTGAGACTGACCAATGACTGAGTAATGGAAACAGAAATTTCATTTTCACCTGTGACTGAAATAAATACAATCCACTTAAAAGAGATTTATTTTTTAAGTTACTATTTGATTATGCGTCATAGTCTATTCAGCTGTAATTTAGGTCATTGGTCATAAATAGAAGCTAACGAAGACGAGATTTAGCTGAGTACCACGGAAACAACTAGCGTAGTTTCGCCAAACGCATCATCATATATCAGCGTTATCGATGTTATTGATAAAACAAACCAAAATCTGCAGCACTTAGTACAACATTGATGTTGCAATTCATCGGTTTCTTACCGAAGTCAAACAGCAAAGATGAAACAATCTGGGAAGATACAATTGTTAGATCAGAAAGGAGAAAAACAAGCCCAAGTTTTGAAGAGTAACCCATAGCAAGGTTTGAATGAGGTAGATCGGCATTTTCCTGAAGGGCGTGACCGATGTAGAGCACGGCCACCTGCCCCAAGAAGTTATGAAGGCGACCACAAGCTTTCGTGCCCAAAACGGGATGTGCGGGCTTGCACAGTGACCCAGAGAACATGCCACCTCACCGTTCTCCCACCAAAGACGACACGTGCAAGGAAGTGGGCTGAAGGAAGGAGAATGACACTTCACAGCAGGAAATGCCTGGCGACTCGTTCATCCGAGGCCGACAGGCCCCGTAAGTAGACACCTTCCGCTCCTACTCGGAGTCTTTGAGGTACAGTGAGAATGACACGACGCCAGAATGTGAGGTACCAACCCCAGTAATCCTCTGAGAAGGAACATGGAAAATGGGGAGGACGGGGGGAGGCTTGCAGACTGTTATTTCCTCTGGAGCTTTCAGCGAGCAATTCCTGGGGCCAGAAGCGGGCTGCACATGCATTTCTAAGCTGATGAAACGACCCCCCCCCCGGACACAATGATTTCAGCAAAGCAACCCCCCGCCCCCACCGGAAAAGAGATTGCTGGTACAAATCCCAGCATCAGCACTTAACCTGACTCAGGCTCTGTGAAACATCCTACTGTACAAACCAGTAACAGAGTCAGTCTAAGCTGTATGTTGTGACTGGTTTTGAGAAGGACTGCAGACCCCAGAATATATCACTATAATCCGAATTTCTCTCTCATGCTAATAAGATCATTTATTTCCATATTTCTATTCGCGTTACAGCCGTGTCTCCATCCAGTGGGATTAATGATTGTAGCCTTTAGCGTTGTCCAGATTCATACCTTGTACATTATAACCTCCTTGTACACCCCACATCCAAATTATGTCATGCTATTAATTAGATACACCAGTGAAGAGGATTAGCCACGAGTCCAGAAGGGGATTAGCTGAGATTTTAAGATTCCTACTCAAACAGGCATAACGAATGGAAATTTAACAAAGGTCTACATTCAACAGGTAGGAGCCCAAAAGGACAAAAAACTATTGCAAACTTTAAGTACAGATCAGGATGTGAGACAGATGAAGGCCTAGCTCGTTTAATTCATTTAAGTTATAGACGTTGACTGATTCTGTAAAATATGGGGACATTCCATTACCTCTGAGTATGAGTGAAACTGCCCCCCCCCCCAATGTCTGCATGCTTGTCCTACTCATTTCATCATCCTTGTTCTTTACATCTGACATGATTGGCATAGTGCATCTTTTGGCAGAAAATCTATCACGTTCCCCTGTCTGCTGTTACCTTGCCATCGCCAGCATGTCTTCTTAAGTGATGTATAGTCACATTAACTTGATTGAAAAGTGATAGTTCACTTTGTTTACTTTTCTCCGTGGTGGACAGGAGCTGACCGAGTAAAGCAGTACTTCCTGCCTGGAGAGTATGATTAAAACTGAACGGCCTCAAGTGAGCTGAATATGATTCTGGACGCTGTGGTTATCCGCAGAAGGACAGGATGCTCGGTGACCCCAGACAACTTGAACTGCAACTCCAGAAACAAACACACAAGATGTCTTCATGCCCGGTGCTGAGCTTACATGCTCTCAGCTGGTAATATGACATGTGATACCATGATTGATTCATTGGGAGCATAAGCCCCACCCCCATCCTACGGGTAATGCAGCCTATCAGCAGTCCCTTCACTGGTACGCATACAAACAGATATCCTTTAACAGGAGTGCCTTGGACCTTCCAGTGACATTTTGGCCAAAAATAAATTCTACAGTTCTTAAAACCTAGAATTACCTGCAAACACCAAAGACGACAGACTGCCATATCCTGAGAAACAGCAGGATACCTTGTAGAGCGAAAGCTGAACCAAAATCGCTGTTAAATGTGACATATTTGCATTAATATGCATTGACTAGAAGATGATTAGAAAAAGCATAACGATTTGAAAACCATGATCCTCTGTAGTCATTAACACAGAGGGGAAAAAAAGTGTTTAATAATTAAAACTGTCAGGGTTCCTCCACCAAACACATGCATCCATTTTCCATAACCGCTTTTCTACTGCTGACTTACAATGAGCTTGGACCCTATCCCTGGAAGACAGTGCATGAGACGGCCTGTAGGGGTCGCCACTCCATCGCAGGGCACACACCTACACACACACACACCAGGGACAGCCTAGGCAAGGAAAGCAAAACCCATGGAATACTTTGATTGGGCAGTGTGCAGCTCTGTGATTTAAGCCCTGTGTCTGTGATCGGAAGGTCATATCCTGCAGTTGGTAATACTGATTTTACCCTTAACCCAAATCGCTCCCAAGACTAGCTGACTGAGCTCTTGCAACTGTACGTCGCTTTGATTAAGACCATCTGCTAATTAAATAAATGTAAATGAAGAAATACAAGCAAATACACACACATACAAAGCCTGAATCGAACCCACAACCTTGGCGGCCTGGAGCTGTCACGCCAATGGGCTGGATCTCGCCTTTATTTGCACAGGATCGCTTCGGTTCTCCTTTTGGGAGCAAGGAGGCCCTTCCTAATGTCGTCCACTGACAACGAGAGACGCTCGTCATTGCTGCATTGCAGATCCTCCAAGACGAGCGGTATACTCATTTCGGTCATGTGGCAAATCTCTTACCTGCCAGTCTCAGCACTCTGCGAAAGAAGGAGATACAGGTTACTGTTAAAAACTTAAACAGGCTACTTAATATGCCTCAGATAAACGCCTTTCTCAGTCAGTGATTCAGCTGTGAAGTCCATCTCTGCAGAGTCCGCTAAGTGACGGGAAAACGTGTCCTGTTTAGTGAGATCACTTCCTCATGTGCTCATTTGCCAGTCCACCAAACATCTGCTTAGTGAGCTGTGTTTATTATAAGCAAACGATATTATTTAATTTATCACGCTAAAACATTTTAACTGTTTACAACGACATGCACTGAATCTCACACTAATATTTTTTTTCATAGTTCATTAGTTAATAGGCTTCGTATTTTATTTGTTACGGCCCATAAGCTGGCGCATTAAGTATATTTTTAAGATAAAGATGGATTTGACGCATATATAACGTGCCCATGCTGTAGGTGTACCGCGATGGACTGGCATTCTGTCCAGGGCCGATACCACCTTTGCCCTAAGCTCCTGGTCACTGAAATCCGGTACTGGATGAGGAGCTATTAAAACGTATGGGTTCGGCCAATATAACTGATGTTATGAAATGGACAGTTTCAACTTAAACTCATTAGGAAAAAACATCTGCGCCTAGGTCCGCCTGGCTGTGCGAGCAGCCGTATGTCAAGGTAATAAAACGGTGTTCTTCATAAAACATGATTAAAAAGAGACGATGGCCATTTTATTCTGCCGATACGTATAACCAGAATGCCCAGGTAACGAGAAAACGACCTGACTGTTCTTTTATTAACGTGAGCATCGATAATGTAACAGCATGTGACGGCAGTTTCATATAAAAAGGCACATTAGAAATGAAGAGACACTAACAAGCACCGTTATCTGAGATTTTACTCCTGAGCAGACGAGCGTTCGGGGAAATTGATTTACCTGAGGGAGGGGGGTCTCTGTAATGTATAGTCATTTAATCTCCAGGAATTAATAGCACACATGCCCATAGCACGCCATGTATTCAATTTACATTTTCCCTCTGCCTCCTTATTTGATAGCCATGCCTGGGATGGGGGAGGATAAAAATTGTTAACGGGGGAATGTCATTATTGCAGAGGGGCGTCTTGGTTTAGTAATTTTGCCGCATCAAATCTCAGAAGAACCAGCAGGGTCAGATGAAATTGCAATTTTTTATTATTATTTATTTATTTATTTTGTTACTACGGGTCTGTAAAAATTCCCTCCCGGACCCACTGTCATTTTTGTTTTCGGTCAACAGTGTCGCGTTAAATTTCATTATCCCGACGCAGGGATGCGCGGTCCTGGGAGACGCCCGGCCAGATCCCGCAGCTCCCCGTCCCGTCCGCGGCTGCGCCCCTGCGCCGCGGGGAGGAGGGGGGGCTGAAGTAGGCAGACAAGGACGGTT